GACATACAGGATATCGATCCAGGAGATCGTCCAATTGTCAAGGTTACAGACATCAGAATAAAAGGTTCTTTATTTCAAGTCAGGAGCTCGACCGGAACAGGTTCTTCATCTGCCTTGGGCGAGGGATCCGATATCACTGGCCCTCCCTTCCAAGTTCAATTCGTTCCAAGTAGAGACTTTTTCTCCCCGTCCGGTGCCGATCAGGCCTTCAATATCACATATTCGGATACTGCCGGGAATGTTACGTACAGTGAAGAGATTATATTTTCTGTATCTGCGGTTAATGACCTACCTAAGATCAATTGCGATGAACCGAATATCGAACTGCCCTCTGGGTTTTTAACGGGAGATATTGCGAGGTTTCGCTTCAGCATAGAGGTCGATGACGTTGATGACCAAGCTTTCGACTTGTATTTTGTAACCACACCTGCGAAAGGGGCGCTCTATGACTCTGATGGAAAAGTGATATCGGTCGGCGAACCAGTGAAGTCACAAAATTTCACATTTCGCTCCTCTGATTCTGGGGGAAGTTATCCCTATTCAAACTTTACCATGTTTGCGGTCGACCCCCGTGGCGGGGTATCGAATCAATGCACTTTTACGTTTTTAGTGAATTGTCCAGCCGGTATGGTCGTTTGTTAGAGGATTTGATTTGTTTTTAGGGCCTAATCATGTCCTATCAGGTCTCTATACCAATATATTTAGTGGCGATCGTGGTCCGATTTGTGCAACCTGTCCGGTTGGTGCTGTGTGTTACCCCGATGGTCGCCAACCTCCAACACCGCAACCCGGTTTTTGGCAAAGTGAAAATAAGACATACATTCCTTGCGGCTTAGTAAGTGGATTTTATGCTCCGGCTGCTTCTTAACCATCTAACATTGATTGTTCATCAGATGGACGCATGTCCTGGATATGCAAATAACAGCTGTGGGGGAGGATATACTGGAACTAGTATGTTATCTTTATCTCTTGCATAATGAACACGATGCTCACCTTACCGCTTAACAAGGATGTGCATTGTGCGAAAAGTTTCACTACAAACTGAACAACAGATGCGTGTCTTGCGCAGAGAATTCCCTGGTGCCTTTACTTACGGTGATGGCACTGCTGGTAGTTTTCGCCATCGGAATTGCGTTATTGGCCGCTCTGGAGAAGAAAGGGCCTGGGTATGTGTCTATTATTTATGGCGGACCCACCGGACTAGATCAAGAAAAACGATTAATATCCGCCACCTAATATTCATGTATTCTCCTTCACTTATAGGTTTTTGTTGATCGGAATTTTCATCAACTTCGTCCAGACCATTCTAATTCTGCGAGATTTTCGGCTCAACTGGTATTACAATCATTGAAGCAAAAAAAATGCCCAAATATGTTCGCTAATTCTTAATCCCAAATAGGCCGCCTGAATTCCATACCATATTGAATGCTTTGTCTTTCATCAATTTCAATATCGAACTCACTGCTCCGGAATGTTTTGTACCCGATGAAACCTTCAATTTCAGCTTGAAAATGAAATACACTTTGGCCATTCCCATTCTGTTATTTATTTCGACTGCGCTCATATTTTTGGTCCAATCACTTATGCGTCCATTAATAAGAACGGTTTTAGCGGGGGAAGATATATATGCCTTGAAAGTGGATTCAACTCGGTACAAAATATTGCGTATTTTGCACATGCTTCTAACAGTTGTGTACACAAGTGTCACTTCGTCATCTCTGGCGTAAATATCATTTCCTTAATATCTCTTCATTTGTCTCCTCGACTTATACATTCGACTTATTCTTAGTTTATTCGATTGTTCTCAAGAGTCAGACGGACAATACTATTTAGGTAATTACAGTATGATCATTTTTCGTCAGTATTGTGCTTTTACTCATCAGCTGAGCAGATGTTGATCCAAGCATCCGCTGTTACACCAATGAATGGTACCATGATGTTCCTTACTCTGTTGCGGCCATTTGGTACATAGGTTTCCCTATATTCTTACCTCCTTAAGTCGCATGGTTTCTAATCTCTTCTTTATAGTGTTTACGTCATTGGAATTCCTCTGTATTTCTTTGCCATATATTTTTTCCACCATCAAACAACACGCACAACTCCTTTCTGGACTTCTCTACAAAAAATATGTGGAAAAATTGTCTCGGTCGAGCGTCATTATAAGAAAGAATATCAGTTTTTCGCAGTAATCCAATTGTTTCAAAAATTATGTGTTGTAGCTACGGGAATGTTTTTCACGAGGTATGGCTACGCTGAGTTCTCGATTGTTTCCAAATCCCTACTTACAGACGACTGCAGATATAAGGGGCTTCAAACGATCCTTACATTAACGATTCTTCTCGGTTCTTTGCTTACTTATGTAAGGTTCAAACCATATGCCTATGACCTTTTAAACAGAATGGAAATGGTGTCAATCATATCATCTACCGTCATTCTGGGTTTTGGACTTGCCTTTTTGGATGATCTCAATTCTGCTATGCGGTCTGCCCTTACCGTTTTTATATTAGCTGTCATTTTTGGGTTCTCGGCGGTTATTTTCGGAGCTTCTGTTTACGAAATCAAGACATCAGTTCGCGAGAGAATGAACTCGAAGAAGGAAATGAATGATTGTCCGGTGGTAGGAAGAGGAAATATGCTTACAACAGATCGCAGCAATGCTCAGTCTGCTCGGACGGCGTTATTTCGGTAGACGTCCGTACTCAAATTAATGAGAAGTCATGCTTATGTTACATGTCTTTAATATAGGCCTGCGGGAGGCAGCTCGGGAAGAAAATCGTGGAGAAAACCGTTTTTATTTGTATTTATTGTCATTAATTAATTATATTATTAGCATTGATTAATCGTTAATTGCTTATTAATGTCTATCACCAGCTTCCAATGGGGTGGAATTTAATGCCTTGTTGTTGTATACAGTTCCAGCGACTTTTATAACTCTAATAAAACACTGTTGGCAATTCATCGACAGCAGGATTCCATATTTGGTGCCATTTCAGCCTCGGTATGATTTAATCCTGTAATGCGAACCGCGCCAACGATAATCTTTTTGGCTATTATTTCTAAGTTTTGAGTAGCAGCACTATAGGCTTGTCTGTACAGAATCTGGAATACAGTTTGGTAAAAGCTAATTCGTAGAAAGACGAAATCGTTTGTTTCGTGGCTTGGGGAGCGCCGAGCGGTCATCTAGGAAAGGTTGAGCATGTCTTGAGCTTGTCAATAGTCTATATTTCTGGTACTGGCAATGCCGCCAAAGAGCGGCCAATTTATTTTCTATGTCGCATATGTACATGTATGGTGTTGAGGTAATCGCTGAATTTAAGTAGTGACGTAACTACTCTTGACATGCCTTCCTGTTGCGTATCAATTTGGCGATTTTGAGTGCGAGGGAGCGCGGTTCCGCTCGGCGATCAACCGAAAACGGCGGGATTCCGTGACTGTTCCGGCCTGTCGACATCCCAGTCATTCCACCATTCCATCATCTGTTTTTGTTTTTAAGCGAATAATGTCTTCTCACAAATGTTTAGTTTACGGTGGGGCGGGGGCCCTAGGTCGCAGTGTTGTGTCTTTCATGAAAAGCAAACAATGGGTACTGTATCTGAGTTGACTTTCTCGGTATTCACTTTGTTCAGACTGTTAATTATTCATTACGTTTGATTTATGTACCGTATAACATCACCGTATTTCTGACACTGAATGATCTTGTGTGACTTACCGACTAAAAATGCGACACTAAAAATTCGTTAGACCACCATTTCTGTTGATCTGGCCGAAAATGCGGCCGCAGACTCCAACATCATTCTGTCTACTTCCGATAGTTTCGAACAGACATCAGATGAAATCTCCTCTCAGATTACTTCAGTCCTCGGTGGCTCGAAATTGGATGCTATATTCTGTGTTGCAGGTGGTTGGGTAGGCGGAAATGCTGCCGACAAAGGTATGTTTAATTTCGGTATCATCGCGGCCGTCAACATCAGTTGATGTTCAATCCGGCAATTGTATTCTTTGATGAGACGAGTTCAGTATTTTAACATGGTATACCCTCTCAATGTTACAAAAGATTTAATTAAAAATACCGAAATCTCCTATAAGCAATCGGTGACGACTTCCATTATTGCCGCTCACATTGCCGCTCATCATCTCAAAGAGTACGGGAGATCTTTCTTATCTGATCCTTGGCAACACCCAGCGCAATCTAACTTTTTCGTTTAGAAATGGTCTCTTGACCCTTACCGGCTCCTATGCCGCCCTTAAAGGCACCCCCGGTATGATTGCATATGGAATGTGTAAAGGAGCCGTTCATCAGCTTGTAAAATCCTTGGGAGCTGAAGGATCTGGGTTACCCAAGGGTGCCAAATGCGTTGGAATTTTACCGTAAGTGTACTGAATGTCATTCGAATGGGCTGCAACCGTTTCGCTTAAAATCCTTTTGATTTTTAGCATAACCCTTGATACTCCAATGAACCGTAAATATATGTCGTCTGCCGATTTCTCGACTTGGACTCCTTTAGAATTCGTTGCTAGGTGAGTATTGTCTCAGTGTATTCTGAAGACATTCGTTTATCTGATTTTTTGCATTCGTCATTAGTCTTCTTCATGACTACGCGACCACACCGTCAAAGATCAACAATGGAGCTTTAGTTGGTTTAGTTACTAAGAATAGTCAAACCAATATCGAAGTTGTCACTGGTGACTTGTTGGGAAAAATTTAGAGGGACTACCTATAAAATCGATTTTGAATATAGAGGAAATTTAACGAGCAGTAAAATACACTGTTGATAGAATAGTTTTGATATATTGCATTCTGTACTAAAAGAACCAGTCAACATTCGAACCAAATTTCAATGAATGTTTATGGATGATGCGCTTATCTTTTAGCAAATTGACATAATCTTTCGGGTGCCGACAACTGACATGCAACTCATCATCGTTTCAATTCAAGTGCTAACTTCTTGTTCTGTTTTATTTCCATTTACTAATTATATATAAAATTATTTTGCCACAAAGGTCCATTAGCTCAGTTGGTTAGAGCGTGGTGCTAATATGATTGTGTTACGCCAAGGTCAACAGTTCGACCCTGTTATGGACCATCTTTTTGATTTTGTCGCATTCTTATAATCAGTGGCATGACCTGTTTCAGAAACTCGATCATCGCTATGTCAGTGATTTTATTAAGTATTACCTTATTAAGTATTACCTGATATCGCAAAACCAACAAAAAATAAGTCGTGAAAAAGTCAATGTCTGCTGATGTATTATATGCAGAGTTGTGGGTATACAATTTAATTTAAAAAGTTGATGGAAATTTATGCTATGGCACTGAATCATTTTCACCTATGTCATGACCAGATAGTGCAATCGATGCCGCTTTCACGAGTAGGAAGTATCTGGGTTTCGTTCTAATGAATATTTCTTAATTCCAAGGGTCCATCAGAACATCCCATTAGGGACAATTGCGTTGTATAAACGTTCTGATGCGTCATTCTCGTGAATAATCTGATTTATTCCCTTTCACCATGAGGAGACACTAATTTTGTTCTTGGACTCGGAAAACTCGGGGCAGAATGACCCCCTCAGCGTGCCGAATTTCCATAACCGCGTGTGGAGGTTCGACAAGAATAGCGATAGCATGTTCAAGATTTCTGACGTAAGGATGTTGAAAGGGAACCCATCCAACCAGAATATACAGCACTTATAACCTAATAAAATTCACTTAAATCCTAGTATAAATTGTGGGGACTATCTGTAGCTGTCCTTGTGGGAGTCCTTGTGGGAGTCCTTGTGCAAATCCCCTTTCGCAATGCATACAAGTAAACCAACAGAAGTTCTTCTCGCCCTTCTCATTACCATTACTCTTCTCTTCATTTCGCCGTCACGGTCTGTTCCCACTCGACCAGCTCGGCAGAAATCGTCAAAATATATGAAGCCAATTATCTCGCCGACTTCAAATGAATTCTCGATATCACGCTCTCGATCTTCAAATTCCAGTTTCGTAAAGCCATTGCCAGTTATATCAAACTCCATTACACTGAAGTACATTCAACCTGCGCATGAGGAGATAGAAGGCAAGGGATCTCTGGTCACAATGAACTTACAGACGTTATACCCAGTCTTAAACATTGATGACTTGCGGGGACTGTACAACCTATCATGTCCTGTCACGCCAGATCCAGACAGTGAATTCGAAGATATATCAATTCAGCTATCGGATGTCTCTCGAATCAGAAAATGGCCTAAAAATATGTTGTTACTGGTCGGACACCAATGGTCTTGTGGTATAAACGTGTCGGCTAAGTGGAAAATGGTCGAAAATGTTAAAATAGTAGACGAAGAGATGGGACTGGTAGTTTTGAATACCAAGAAAGTCGAGACCGATGACGTGGTGGTGAAGTGTCGGATAGTAGTAGAAGAAGTTGAATCTTATCAGAACGAAGACAGACCAGACAAACCTAACAACGGATTTCATGGTACTGCCGATCATCCGGGAAGCAAGATTAAAAAGCGTGATTCAACATCTCAATTGAATTTAAATTTAAATTATGACCCGAAATCCAGCCGATCCAAGAGGCAAATCAGTTTTCCTACGAATTTAAGGACCGGGGCCGAATTTTCGTGGACGTGCGAAAATTGTTATACAACGGGATCAGCTCTACTGGTAATCGATTTTGAGAAAGAACCATCGAAAGAAAAAAACTTTAAGTGGAGTTTTAAGCTTTCAGGAGATTTAAATGTAAACGTGGAGTATAAATTGGGGTCGAATAAGCAAAACTTATATGAAAAGGATTTTGGGTTTTTATTCTCCATTCCTGTTGGTCCCCTGACGGTACCGGTTTGTACCATCGTTCCTGGCGGTGATTACTATGCCCCGGAGTTCAGACTAAAGTCAATTTTCTTTTTCAGGGCTTATTCAACCTTGGCTATTCCTTTTATGTTTCTTCTGGTGTTACAGTTTCAGTGAATGACACTGCACTGTTCCGCCACGGCTTTGACGTCAATTTCCCTGACTTCGCTGTCGACATATTTAAACCGTTCGATGACGAAGATAATCTGCCAAACATAGAGACGAGCGGCTTCATTCCAACGATCACTCCTCACGATTTCACGATTCCGGAGGCGGTGCTCTTGTCGCTCGGCTTTAGACTTTCGCCTGGAATTAATTTTGGATTCGAACTTGGCAGCGGTTTAATTAATGCCGGCGTATCAATAGAGATAGATAATTATCTCTTCGCTGATGTTGAGGATTCCGATGGAGACGTCTGCCCCGCAGAGACGTGTGAAGTGAGTTATAAGTACCAACACGTTCTACAATTAAATGCACTGGCAAGATCAAAAGATATCTTGGGAACCGAGAAGAAAATGATATGGTATGGCAATTTCACCCAAATGGAGGTATAAAAAGAGAATTGCCTAACATCTTCTTCAAGTCCTACCTGTGGAATCTGCCTCGGACCTGGCTCGATTTCCCAGTTCCGCGCAGTATTACCGTCACCGGCTGGATCCTCACAAGAAGTTACTTCAAAGCTCGGAAATCACATTTACTACCCCCCTCCTAGGCCAAAACCATTACCTGCGCCAATGACAGTGGATGTAGAGGCAATGTTTGAGAAATGGTGGCAAGCTCCGTTTTTTGGCGAAAGGCCAGCCTGGCCTTAATTTGACCTCGATTTGTTAAATTGTTGGCCGAAATCTGTACACTGTAACCGTTATTTTCATTAGATTTGAGTTTAGATGCACTGGACACCAATAATCATGCACCAGTAGTAATATAGAGAAACAGAAAGATTTATTATACCCCCTCTAAACTTTAGACAACGACGAATATATGAACTAATTACAATAAATAAGCGCAAATCACTTTCTTGGAACACCCATGAACACCGGAATGTAATTCGATACTAGGCCCACGATCGTTAAACTATTAAATAAAAACAAAAGGATTGTGAGCGTCTGTGGTAGTGTCCCAAGGTTACTTCAAAAATCGCTCTAGATACGAACATTATAGTACTTTCAAAAGGCGATCTAGAATCCTTTTGGGATGCTTTTCGTCTAGCGATAGAAACTAAAGAACACATTAATGCAGCCCAATTCCCGTACTTGGTTCTCATGACTAGTCCAACCACCGCTAAGGTTCATTGCGGCCATGAAGATTTGTTAGTGGAAAGCGAAGAAGAAAGTGAACTAGTAATAAGTAAACGAGATCAATACCAAAAACAAGAGCTAATGCTTGGAACAAATCTCCCTCTGGTTCTTCTTGTAATTTTGAAGGTCGGAACTAACGACCAAATATATGTTAATTGTCTTAAATTCACACAATCACTTCACATATAGAAGATGATTCACATACAGCAACAGCAAGCTCTTGTCGTCGTGGGTCCACAGTTCTAGGGAATCTTGGCTTTGCTTTATCGGATGTCATCTTGTAAGTTGATGTTTCGTCGTGGATAAAGGTGGAGTTTGGACAGTGGCGGAATGGAGTTCGTGCCAAGTTGTCAAAGACAGGAAATTGATCCTTACTTGAATCAATATACATTTCTGTACGCTCAAAAGGCCACCACACATATTGTCAAGATGCACTAATTCTGGAGAAAGTACATGCACCCAACCGATGTATTTCACCATCTCTTCTTCGAAAACCCTTTCGCATCACGATCACGACCTAGCACAAGTCATTGCCGCTAACCCTGTGCGGAATCCGTCGTTCCCGGAAGACGTCATTATTGCTATAAGGGAAAACTGGGATGCTAGTTTATTCGTTGCGATAGGGGTGAGAGCATTATGGCTATGGAGCGCCAAAGTCTGTTTTAAAGTTTTCTTATTCAAATTCAGTATCGTCGATTCTTGATTCAAGATTGAGCTATGATTCAGACTTTAAAACGAAGCCGTGACTTATCCCAAATTTCTCAAAATGTTCATATTGTATATATAATGATTTATTTATGACGGATACTCTTGTGTTGATGGAATATCAAATTTCGATTAGCCGGCAGCTGTCATTGCTAAAATTTTTCGGTCCGAATCATCGATTACCGAACACGGAGAAAATAAAGAAGTAATATGGAAACCAGATTCTAGCATGATTATAGTGATTGTATATCGAAGTTCTTTTATTCATCTCGTAACGAAGTCACGCCAATTGACATATTCGTTTAGACATCTTTGGGCTTTCTTCACTTCTATACGGTTGACCCGCAAACTTCCACCAAAGCCTTCGAATATCAGTTTGTCCGAGCGCATCACTACCTGGCGGGAGCAGGTCAAGGGAAAGGAATACCGAATTTGCCCGTTAAGTTCAAAGTTTCGGTCAAAGTGGAAGGCGGGGTCCAGTGGTAAAGCTGTAGTCTTGATCAGTTTCCGCGATGAAAATGTAACCTAAACGTCCAATCTAGCGGAGTCTGTTTGACTGAAGAATTGATAGTCACAACCTCCAAAGCTCCTTCTATACACACTATATCCCTCACTAACGACGAAGTCAACGTTACAGAATCAAAGTATTTGTCAGAAATTATTTTTCTCGGCATTGACAAGGATTCGAGCGAAGACAACGGTTCACATCCTTCGCTTTCTGTGCTATTAACTGCGACGGCAACTGATCCTTTGTATTAGGAACATATCTACGGCAATTAATATATTCCGAAGATCTGAATTTATTTGTTTGGATAACGAGTAAAGGCCAAGCTTATCTAGTTAAGAGGTTTGACGCGGGTGGTTGGGGAGATAATTTAGCTCCAGAGGTTTGACTATCAATGTGAAATATCAATGAATAATTACTAATTGACGGTAACAGCACGATTCAGCAGAGACGCCCAAAAGATATTACTGGGCTGGCATCCCAATCGACATTCCGGTGGACCCGACAGCTAAATCCGCTGCAGGACTAACCAGGAGAAGTCAAGCCGGGATGTTGCCGGATGCTGATACTGCTAAAAGAAATTTCGTTATCTGCGCGACATTCAACAGCCGATTTAATTTGGTCACAGTTGGCGCCCGAGAGTAAGATAGTACTGATTCAAGAGTTAAGAGACTTAGTATCTGATTAGAGAAATCCTCATTTAGCGGAAATGTCTATACATATTCGATAGACACTTTTTCC